ACCACCACAACAACAACGGTAGTTAGACAAGATTCATCAGCGGCAATGCGAATGTGGCTCGGATCGGCGGAGGCAGCTGTTGCGCGCCCTCCTCATCCAGACAGCGCTGTATCATCCGCTCCACCGCAACGCGCAGCCCAGAGAGATTCACTACAAAGGCAGCAGCCACGTCATAGAGTGTCTGGTACGTGTCGAGGAGGAGGCGGAAGATGGGCTGCTCCTCCAGTACGCGGAATCCCATGTATAACGTCGCCGCTATCTTCGGGTACAGCATCAACAGCATTGGCCGGACGTGTTGTGCATAATGCGGCACCACATACGGATGCCCTCCGCACCGCTCCGCGTGCTGCAGACGGTGCTCGCACTCCAACCGCCACAAGTGCTGCGCCGCCACGTCCACGTAGCGCTGGTGATATGACTCGCGGAGCCTGAATCCCTCCGGTTCCGCCGTGTACGGTTGCACCTCCACGTCAAGCAGCGAGGAGTCCTCATGTTTGTCGGGAACATTTATGTGTAGTGGGGAACCGCTTGTGAAGTCTGATCTTCTTGCTGAGCATGGCACTTCTTCACTTGCTGCATCGGTGGCATTCGACATGGAGGAGCGCATCTGCTGCTGGCTAATCTTTGCAGACAAGGCTGGTGTACTCATGTCCACCTCCACCTGCCGCGGTGTTCGCTGCAGCTCATCTAGCTCCCACTTTCGCCGCGCCACGCGGTGATACATCTCCCGCATCTCTTGCTCCGGGAAAGGGAAATCGACGCACTCATTCCCGTTTTTCACGAATTCCTCAATTGTCATGCGGCAGCTCTTTGCGCTTTCATTGTGAAGGCTGGCATGCAGGAAAAGAAGTACCCCCGCCATGGCGTTGGCGTCCTTCGTAGTGATGGAACGTGGGTTCTGCTTCCCGTACGCCTCGCCGAAGCGCTCCTGTACGACGCCCCACACCTGCGCTTCGAAGGTGGGCCGGTCCCACGACATGAACTCACACGTTGTGTCCCGCAGCGCAATGTCAATTGGAACCCCTTCGTAGGAGAACAGCTGAAGGTACTCCTTCAAGATGCGGTCACAGTCTGGGTCCTTCAGCACCCGCTCAAATATCATACACAACGCCGAGCGCTCGACGCCAGAGTAGGTTTTTAAAAACCTCGCAAAGGCGGTCCAACTCGCCGCCTCGTCTGTGCTTGGAATGTAGCCGCGCTGCCTGAGTAATTCCATCCCTTCACGCCAGCGTCCCTTGTTGATGATCTGCAATGCCTCCTGTGCGATGCGTTTGTTCTGCAGGAGGCAGTGAATGTGTTTCCAATGGTAGCCAACATTTCGATTCTTCCCCCACATCGACTGGGTATCCTCACCCTCATCACTCAATGAGTCGGTGCTTGCGTCCCCCGAGAGCAACTCAGAAGTGTCGCTCTCCTGTTCCTTGTCATCGGAGCCCCAGTTGTCGAGATACACTTCATGCCACCGGTCCGCTGCATGACTGCCGTTGACAGGCTGCGTGAGCGCCCGGCCGGCCGTCTCGCGCGCCTGCCGCTGCATATACCCCCGCGGGTCCTCAGCAACCCATCGCAGCATTGACTCCACCAGGCTGTGCATCGCGCTCGCACACTCGCTACGCAGCAGCTGCTGCTGGTCCAACGAGATCCAATCTGGCTCAAAGAAGTCTGAAAAGATCATCCCCACAACGAAGTCCACCATCAGCTCCAGCATGCCGCCGTACTTCGCCCCTGCATCAAAGGTGGGATTGCAATCGTAGTTGATGAAAAACGAAACACATAGGTGCGGAACGCGAAAGAGTTCACGAACCATACCAAGTACTGCGTACTTCTGAGAGAAACTCGAGAACTTGGATTGGGCTAGCGGGAACAGCATGATGGCGAGGAGTGCGTGTAGCTCTCTAGCAAGGTGGTAGTGGCACTTTCGCAGAAGCAAAGTGAGGACGCGCACACTAGTGGCAAAGAAACAGGCAGGCACGACAGTCGAAACATTTCGAGCAATGCAGCGGAGGATATCGTACTTGGTCGCTGCAAGTACCAGCGAAAGCCACGTCGCACAGCGGTGTTCTACATCACAGTTCGCTACAGGAAGCTCGAGGAACACCGCCTCTACCATCTCCAGTGCGAGTTGCCGCGCTCGCACCTCTGGGTTTGCCTCACTGGTAGATCCTGACCCGCTACACGCCCTCGACGCAAGTTTACATGTGTGGCGAATAAGCAGCAGCAGGTCCTTCATGGCGTCAGGGAAGCGGCTTCCTCCACGCAGCGTCGATACTGCACTTGCCACAATACTATCATCAAGACTGCCGCGGAGGTATTCAAATGGGCGGAGTGAGCCACTTGAAATCAATGTATCCTCAACAGCAGGCGTCATAGATTCTTCTTTGAACTCATTGCTTTTCAACCGATCGGCCCGATTCTCCGGTTCCAGTGATGTGGTAAAACCCTCAATGACAATCTTTGTGTAGGGGGCATCGGGCTCCACGTCATGCATGTAGTCATCTAAAACTGTGTTAGAGGCAAATATGCTGGACTCCGACTCCTGTAGAGCAGCCTCCACAAAATTCCGCGTCACGCGGAGGACGCAGAGGAGGAACAGATCCCGGCTAATAGCCCGAGCGCCTTCATGAGAACTTTGAAGTGTTATCTGGGAGCATATCTGCACACAACGTGTGACGCATTTTCCTGTAAATGAAGAAAACCCATCATCGCTCACAATATCGTGCAAAATCTCCACACACTTCAGGTACATGACGGGTTCAGACGCGTGCCTGAGGAAGTCGCCCATGGCACAGAACAAGGCCTCGCCACACAGAAGTGCTTTCTTGTTGTTCTGAGACTGATAAAGAATGATGGCCGTGTTGTATGGGATAAAAGATCCCTGAATCAACTGCTGCAGCACTGGCAACACCGCTTCCACCACACGACTCTTCTTCACATAGAAGGCGCTTAAGACAGCGGATATGATGGGTGCAGTGGCAAGCCTAGCTCGCCCATCATGCATCGTACGCATCCACTCTTCTACTGTCCCCAGAGCCTGCTGGACAACATCTCTGAATTCTGGATCGATTAGCAAGCTGTTACCACCCTCAGTACGCTTAACCAGTCGGAAAAGGGAGGCAAGTGCCTCAAGGGATCTCTCCGATCTCATGACTCTCCTCTCTAGCGTGGTGGAATGGGCAATGTTATTCGTTCCTCTCCTACTCCCTATTCCACACTGCAAGTATGTGAGGAGAGATGAAAGGAAGCAGACAATTCGTGGACGACACTTCACAACGTGAATGGAGTACCAGTGCCCTCCCCAGCGTCCACGTGCACCTAATCAATATATAGATATGAGCTTGGTATAGCACATGATTTTTTTTCGCGAACGTGATCGGCCAACCAAATGACCCACAACCCTGTAACAAGCACGCATACAATAATCGTGTACTTCTAATGTCTCGAGAGAGCGCCGTACTTCCTCAGCAACTCCATTGTCTTTGCCCACACCTCTTCTTCAAAAGAACCGTCGTGTTGGAACGAGGTTGGCTCAGTCTCGCCCAGGCCCGATGGTGTCATTGGCAGCTGCGTGGAGGAAGGCGCTGCTGTTGCTGCTGCTGCTGCTGCTGTCGTTGTTGCTGGTGGATGGTGCTTAGCATAGAAGGATGGTGTAGCGAAACTCTGATTGAGTCCGACCGGCTCTTTTCTGGTTGAGCAAAGTGACAGCACGTTCGTCATGAAATGCGGTTCATCCAGCACAATCTCTTTCACTGCTTGCGTCTGCACTCCTTTCGTCGTGCGCCCGCTCGTGCGCTGCATCTCCGCCCGCCGAATCTTATCGAGCTGCTGCCCCAACTCCGCAATACGCGCGTCGCGCTGCCGGACGATTTCCTCCGCGCGCCGCACAACGGCCTCCTCAAAGTCCGAGTTGCGGCGCTGGAGGCTCGCCTTGAGGCGCAGACACGTTGCGGCGTGGTCGGAGCGCTCCTCCTCCAGCTGCGTGCGCAGCGCCGCCGCCTCCTCGCGGCTGGAAACAAGCAGCGCACCGCACTCCTCCAGCGCCCGCGTGTGAATCGTGGATTTCAGCGCATCACCGTCAGTAGCAGCAGCAACGTGGAAAGTGTGCAGCTGGTCACGCAGAGCGCGGATCTCCGTCTCGTAGCGTTGTGCCATGCGCAGACGCTGATGCTCGCTGACACGCACCTCCTCGCGCAGATCGCGGCGTATCGCCTCACGCTCCTCGTGTAGGTAGCGTACCTCCCCGGTGCAGTGGCGCACGTACTCCACCACCACTGACGCGAGGTGGCGGGCGAGTGCCGCAATGCCGCGCTGCACGGACTGCCGCACAACTGCCGGCACGTCGTCGCTGGCTTCGACGCGCAGCAGGTCATGCAGCACCGCATCCGATGCCGCGTCCACCAAGGGGGTGCACTTCTCCATCATTACAGTGGCGATGCCAGTAGCCGCGGCATCATCATTATTTTCAGTGATGGCATCCTCTGTTGCCGTCGCCACTAAACCACCACTGTCGCTGCTGTCAGCGGTTGGCGCACGTCCCGTTAGAGTCGTCATCGCCGCTGGCAGCATGGACAGGTCAACGCCTTCCAGCGCAATGGTTTCGCGGAGCTTTGACAGGGCCAGCCTCGCTGTCTCCGCCTCATGCTTGTATTTGAGGATTTCCGCCTCTGTCTGATTGCGATGCGCCTGCACAAGGGCATCCACCTGCGCAAGCACATCATTCATGTAGTGTTCCCTCTCCTCTGGAGAGGCGAACGCCCCAGAAGCAATGTGTGAATCCGAAAGAACGGACTGATTATTCGTACGATTTTCACCACCGATAGCATCAACCAACTGTTGATGAGCACTAAGCTGAATGTGCTGCTGTTGAAGTTCTTCCTGAAGCCCAATGACTTCTTGGCGAAGCTCACGATTCTGCTCCTCCATATCTATAATGTACTTTGTCATCTCCTTTGGCAGTCGCGTCATGAGGAGAGGCTGCTCCGCCGCCTTCCCCGTCTTATTGAGAGCCGCGTCACTGTTTACTGAGTGAACATGATGGTCAGCAGACGTCACGTCATCGTCACCTGAACTCTGGTGCGTCAGTGAACGCATGCGGCGGTATGTCGATAATTTATCCAGCGGACCGGGCCGCCGCAGCGGCTGGCCACACCCTTCAATGGCATTGGAACTTGTTAATCGTCTGCGATTGTCCGCGTCGCCGCCGTCGTGCTGTTGTTTGGCTCGCTCGTACTCGACCAGGCACCCAGGCTGGCGCAGCGGCAGCCGTGGGGCGGGGTCTGTCGCCGGCGACGGCTCACGCGTGTGGGTAACGAGCGGTGGTGGCATGACGAATGATTGACACCCGTCAGCAAACTCGCAAGCAGCAGCAGCTGATACGAACGGACGCAACGGCAGTCCTAATGTGGCGAACCGGCAATAATAAAGACCAAGCGAGAGGGGGAGGGAAATAAGAAGCATGGTGATGTGAGAATATCATGGAATCATACATGATACCCATTGCTGACACCACACACGGGTGGCCCAGTATTAATGCACGACGAGAAAGGGGGAAGAAGAACAAGTTGCAAGGTGGGAAAAAGGGGGAAACGTAATACAGCCCAAAAAAAAAGGGATACGGAACGCGCCATATCACTTCACCACACAGGTATACACCCACACAAGCATAGGAGATCCATTACTATCATCACCACCACCACCACCCAGCACACATACCGTCGTTAAAGAGAGGGGAATGGTGGAGTGCACAGACATGTGCATTACACCATACAATATTGCTTTTTTTTTTTGCGCACCCATGTCAGTAACGTCGGATGTTCGTTTCCCACCAATAACTAAAAACGCCTAGAGACACCCTCGATTTTACCAGTAAACCCAAAAATATTGCAGCGTCCCGAACCCAGTCAAGACCAAGTTCGCCAAGGACGAAATCTTATAGAAGATCTACACACCATATCTTTTTGATCAACTCACCACCACCAACACTGCCCGATCGCATCTCCACTCGGCTCTCACATCACTGCGCAGCACTTCGCTGTTGATTCCTTCGTAGATTTCAACTCCGTTTTGGAGTCTACCGGCGCTATTCTGGTATATCCAGTATCCTCTGGCAGCACTTTGCTTTCACCTTTTCTGGCAGAAGGGGCAAGAGAGACATGATTTGCGCCACTCATACGAGACGCCTTTACGGTGTCAATGAAAACGGGTTGTGTACCTACTTTTCCTCCCTGCTGTGATGAGATTGACATCCGCTTTGGAGTGCTACTAAGACCGATCTTGGCTGTCACTGGTAGGTACTTGCTGACGTCCAGACTACTAGACGCTTCAGTGAGCGGCCGAGGAACTGGTCCTACAGAGGCAGTACTTGTCGCATAAATAGCAACTGGTGTCTCTGTTTCACTTGGTCGGGTAGCTGTATTCTCACTCGGCAGAATCAGTCGTGGGGCGGAGGATACACTCACGCCAAGGGCGGCTACCTTGCTGGCACCGCTGTCGGGCTGCCCACCTTCGGACCCAGCCAGAGAAGCTGGAGGAGTGGATGCGGCGGCAACATCACTTCTGCTTCCAACAGAATGGGGCTTTGTCTTTTTGGTGGCTGTTGCGGCATGCGGAGGGGGTAGAACAGCTGTCTGCACCGCAGATGGGCGTTGCGTCATCTGTTTAGGCCTTCCACCTGCTATAGCTCCTGTGCTTGGCCGCTGTCGATTTAGGATATTTGCCTGACGCGCTCCAACTCGTGCATCACGTTCCCTTCGCAGCCCCATCTCTGTACACTTCGAAGGACGGAGCCTCTTACATGTCTTCGTCCAAGAGCCTACGGTGCTAGTATTGTCGCATGACAACAGAGATGGTCGCGCGACTGGAACAGCTGAACGATTACTCTGATGATTGTTTGGACTTGAGAAATCATATTGCCGCCTTGGCCGTGTCCGACGGCGCTGCGTTGATAACGTATTAGATACTGATGTCAAAGGAATACAGAATGACTCCTTCGGAGTCGCAAAGCTTGAACAGTGCGACATGCTCTCCGCACCCACCGGTGCCTCTGACTGCAGCGATCTCCAGTACTCCTCACTCCAGTAATCCTGATCGCTCGTTCCGTTTACACCGCGCTGCAACTCCTCCGCAATGGCCTCAAGTCCCTCTCGTTCTGGTGCTCGTAGGTAGCCGACCACGGTGGTGGAAGAGCACTCACGGAAGTTCCCCTTATGTGGGCCCGCCTCGACGGAGAGAGTAATAGTCGGCAGCCGGCTGTGTGACTCCACAAGCTGCGCACCAGGAATCGCGCCGGCCGCCCTCAGTGCTACCACAGATGGTGGTTGGTAGATGACCTGGGGCTCCGACAAGCGGAAGCCGTGGAGGTACGGCACCGCGGTGAAGAGATTGCACTCCAGCCCCATCTCCAGTGAGTCCACGGTGGGGTAGTAGCTTGTGTCATTATTGCGATCTGTCATATGCGAAGCGTGCCGTTCATGCGCTGTTTCTTGGTCCACAGGAAGATGGATCCCTGTGAAACCTCAGTTGCCCGGAAGAAAAAACTCTTTCCCGGTTGTCCGTGACTTCTCGATGTTCCTTTTGCGTGGATATGCGCGTGCGTGCGTCTGATGTGGCTCTTTTTTTATTTTGTTGTTCCACCACTAAAGAGCTCCCCTACTTTTCCTCTTTGTCACTGGGTATTTATTCCTTTGACTTTTTTTGGTCACTCTGTTTAAGTGTATCGTTGCCTTCCCCTCTCGTTGTTGTTGTTGTTGTTGTTTTTTTGTGCTTTTGAGAGGCCAACGTGGCGTATGCCGTCTGCCAGCCCCCAATATATATATATATATATATATTTCTTGGATGTATGTATCGATGTGTTGATCCTGGCTTTCCGCACCCCAATGGTGAGGCAGTAACGGCATTATTAACACAGGAGAGTTACAATAAAATAAGGGAAACAAGCGCGAAGGATTCTCTTAATATTTCAGACAGAAAGCATGAGAAAAGGGGACACACACCCACACACACACAGACTCCAAGAACCGCATAGCAAGATGCTTGTATAATACGCCGAAACTCTTACGATTACACACCGGCCGTGAGAGAAACGTGGCGGGGAAGAGATGTATCTCTATGGCGCAGGGACCACACGACCTGCTCGTTGCCCCCACACCCTTTTTTTTGTTGTGTGTGTATGTGTGTCAATGTGTTTGATTTAGCCTTCGAGAATTTCCCGTCCTCTTTCCGCCTTTTCTTCCCCCTTTCATTCACACTACAACGCGTCGCAGAACAAGGCACATCACTTTCTTGCTCTGTCGTGATACTCACAGGGACGTTTCCGCCCACATTGTTTCTTGCTGCGCTTAAGAATTGCCTCGCAGTAGAGCGGCTCACGCTCCACCGAGGCGGCCGCGACCGTCAATGCAACGCTGCGGAGCGGCCCAGTCTGCAGTGACGCATCCAACGTTCCAACACTCTCCTCGCCACGTCGAACTGACGGCGACAGCTCCGGTTGTTGTTGCTTTTGGTGTTGTAGTGATGGTTGTGTAGCAGCGGTGCTACCATCGCGTCCCGAGGTGCCGCGTGTTTTGTCGCGCGTGATTCCCAGCGACGCTGCGGGAGTTGGGGTGTATGGGAGCACACTCACCTCGCGCGGGTGGCTGCCAGACATCGCGTCATGCGGCCGCTCGTCGTGGCGACGCGCACAGATGCGGGCGGTGGTCCGTGCGACTGCCTCCTCCAACTCTTCCTCCTCGTTCTGCAGGGGGCAGCTGGGTGTCGTGAGCTGCTGCTGCTGCTGCTGCTGGAGCGGCAGCAGCCGGCACGGGCCGTTGCGCGGCGCCTGCGCAGGTTCCTTCTCGGCCGCGCTGCAGCGGAGGCGGTACGACTCGTTCCCGTTCGGCATGAGACTGCGCAGGTGCGAGGCGATGATCTGCACCTGCTGCGCCTCCGCAGAGCCGCGAGAGGCAATTTGCTCGCACATCCGTAACGCCTCCGCGTAGCGCTGCATGAGAATGTAGAAGTCCATGAGCACCACGTCTGACGTGTGGGCGTCGGGGGATCCGCGCAGCACGGATTCCACAATGTCCTCCTCGCGCGACTGCGGTGTGACAAGGCCGCTGAGCAGCTGGATGTTTTCTGTCTGCAATGCCGCCCGGGCGAGGGCGTGCGTAGCGACACTGCCCCAGACGGTGCCGCGGGCTTTACGGTACAGTGCCTCCACCATCGCCGCGCTCCCACGCTTATACGCCAGAAACAGCAGCTTCACAGCCACCGACGCGTCCATTTCGTGTGCAGTGGAAACTGCGAGCACGCAGCCGGTGAGCTGGAATACCAGCTCGTACTCCCCGCTGTACGTGAGGCCGTTGATGATCCCAGGCACGAGATCCAGCAAGGGCGGCCATCCCAATCCGTGTGCCGTGCTGAGTGATGTAAGACTCACGTGATGATCTGCAGCAAATGACAAGTACGCCCACAAGTTCACCGACGCTGGGAGGCAGAAGTTATCGAGGAACTCTCCACGTATGGAGTCGAGCTGCGCAGGCACATAGCCCTGCGTAGCACTAAAGGTGCAGTATAGCACGAAGAGAGCCGTTATCGGCTGCATTGTGGTGATCTGTTGAATGACGCCTCGCAGTGTGACCTGATGTGAGCACCCCATGTGTGAGAGAATCGCGTCGATACACATGACGGGTGCGGTATCCTGAGAGCCCCACAGACTCAGTGCTTCCATTGCCGAGGCCGGCGTCAAACCAAACTCCCGCTCGAATTGCCCGCGTAGTTCCGCCTGGCACGCCATGTTGGTATGTATTGCCTCCTCCAGGCCCAGTGTCTCGTAAAGTGGGACATCAAGCCTCTCGTCGGCATGCGAACTGTACAGCAGACGGTATACAGACAATCGGACGTACACTGTGTGAAGCCGCTTGATCAGGTGCATGGAGATGCTCTGGTACGGCTGCACCTCAGCATTGAGCTCACGTTCACGGTGCAGCGTCGCCACCAGGCAGTGCTGCAGGTTCAGCAGCTGCGTCAATGCCTTCTCTGTAGTGTGTAGGTCGAACACCTTTGCAGCAGTAGCCTCCAATGCCTGCACCGCCGACTCACACTNATCGCGCAGCCCTTCAAGTTTATCGGGTGCAGCACAGATAACTTGGTGACTTAGTAGACGCTTCGGTAAATCCTCAAAGACAAGCACACCAGAATTCTGTCGCAGTAACACCACACTCAACGGTGATGCCCCCAGCTCACTCTGCACAAGTAGCTCGTAGGCACACTGTTTAAACACAAAGCTGTGGATGTGGCCACTCCACACAAAGACACTACGCGACCAGCCCGTCACCGTTGGTAGCTGGTACGGCCCGTCAAGGCTTCGCACCGCAAGGGCGTTCAGATGCACTGCGGTGGGTTCTTGAATAGCGATGTGAAGGCCACCAAGACGACCCTCACCCACCATGAACACAGACGATGTGTTGTCTGCGCCGTTCGGTAGGGCAAGCTGCTCGCTGTGTAGCCGCACCGGCGGCTCCTCTACACCGTCGACCGGCGGCGGCGGGAACCAGTAGCCGCACAGAACGTTGTCGTCGCACAGAACCCACAGCACAGCACCGCCCGCAAATACGGCGTGAGTCGGCACACCCGTCGACGACACCTTTACGTGGTGCATGAGGAGGCAATCCCCGCTGCCGTCGACTGTCTCAGGCAACGCNACGACGGCCACGCTACCATCGTCAAGCAGCACGAGCACCTCGTTTGCGTGACGCCCGGACACCACGCGTCGCACGCAAGCGTCACCAAAGTCCCACAGCACCCGAGATCTGCAGTCGTTGCCGTTGCGAGTACAGCTAAACAGCTGACTCGTGCCGAGGCCGTAGACCGCCACGTCGCAGCATCCAATGCGGAGACAGACCACACTGTACCACCGCGTCTCTTCAACGCCACTGGTGTATGGCAACTCCTGCAGTTTCAGCAACTGTGGACCAGAGACAAATGCCAGCGCCGTTTTCCGGCTTCGCCCAGACCCACGGCTCACGCAGCAGACCACCACACCAGCGGTGTTAGCGGCGGTGTCCATCACGTCGCCCAACTCTCCGCCGAGTTTTGCATCGGCCAGCACCGTACCACTGGCAGATAGTAGAAGCACACTGCACTCACGGACGCTACAGCGACGGCTCTTACCCGTTGCAACGGCGAGAATGTTGCCACCGCTGAACGAACCCCAATCCACAGGGGCCGTGGTAACGCGCCGCAGTTCTGCCATTTGAAGGGCGAGTCTACAGAGCCTCTGGCGGTCTGTTGTTTATGTGCACCTGTGGGTCTGTATGTGTATGTGTGTGTTTAACCGATTGTCTTTGACGTTCGTGTGCTTTTCCGAGCCCCGTCTGCTGTGGTAACTGTGAAGGTGTAATGGCAACACCTGCTTCCTCTTACCCTTTCTTTGTGTGTGTGTGTGTGTGTGTGTGTGTGTGTGTGCAAGAGAGAGACAATAGAAGGCAAAAACAACAGAGAGAGACTCCTTCAACGACAACGCATACACACATACGCAAACACACATAAAGACAAACTGCGTCGTCGCCAGTTCGCGCCACACTGCCACACAAGTGCGAAGTGTGGGGTGAGCTGGGGGGCCACCTATGCACCAGCAGCGCGCCACGTTTCCGCCAGCCTAAGGAAGAGGCGGCCGCACAGCTGCGCGTCGTGAAGGGCGTCATGCCGATCCTCCCTCCCCGTAGCGTCAATGCCGCAGAATTGACAAGCCCGCGTTAAGTCCGTCGACTGCTGCGGATACAATGAGCGGAAGAGCGACTGCGTGCAGGTCAGCGGCGCCTCCGCGTCCCACACCACCCGCCATCCGGCGTCGGTGAGCTGTCGCTGCAGGAAAGCCGCATCGAACTTGGCGTTGTGCGCGATGATGGGCGGTAGTGTAAGCGTCCCACCGCACGCAGCCTCCGTGCTGGTCGCACCTGTCGCACCTGTCGCACGGGGGCAGCTGTCAAGTTGCGGAAGAAACGCGGCAAACGCCGGAATGATTGCGTCAAACGTCGGCGCGCTGCGCAGAAGCGCCAGCGGAAGGCCATGCACCGCCTCCGCGCGTCGGTCACTCCTCCTTGACGGTTGCACGACGCGGAAGAACGAACGCGCACCCAGGAGCCACTGCTGCAGCGCTGCCCCGTCCCAACGCAGTTCGACAGCCCCAATGGCTACGATATCGTCCCGATTCGCAGAGAAGCCCGTCGTCTCCACGTCAATGCACACCGCAGCGACAAATGGAGGTGGCTGCTTGTGCAGGACGGTGCGCTGCAGCAGCGCAGGGGTGCTGGGGAGCGAATCAGCGGGCCGCACGTGTCTAGAGCCGTGGCAGACGAAGTGGGCTGCTCGCGCGTCAGGCTCAGCCGCGATAGCAAAACCAGAATCATCCCCTTCCTCCCCTGGCTGCTGCTGCTGCTGCTGCTGCTGCTGCTGCTGCTGCTGCTGCTGTTGTTGTTGTTGGGATTTCTCGTTGGCTATTGCAAGACGCCATGACGGTGGCAACGCCAACGGCACAGTCGCGTGTGTAGCCGCTGCGGCGCGATTTCGCTTCCGACACCGTGTGAGTAGTGAATCCAGCTCCCCTATCTTCTAGTAGATGAGCGCATGCGTGTCGAGTTAAAAGCCGATACACACACCCACAGACACACACACACACACACAGAGAGAGAGAGAGAGAAAGACCAAAGTGCATTGGATAGAAAAACGCAAGGAAAGAAACTGCAAAGGCCACAGAGGCGTATGGTCTTCACGCACACGCACAGGTACACAAGTCCCATCTCATTCTGTAGTGCAGAGAGGGAAAATGAAATTGTACGTGAAGGAGAAAGTGATATATTCGCTTTACTGCATCGAGGACGAGAGAGAACGCGCTGAGCGCCTTCACAGCACCACACATACACTCCGCTCTCACCCAATTAGTATTGTTTTGCACTTGCGCTGTGTTCATTCTAGTGATCGTGCTACCTAACCCCAGCCCAGAAACATTCTGCACAGAACAACAACAACAACAACAACAGCAGCAGCAGCGTTGCTCTCACCAAGACGCAAGCCATTTATGACGAGCCAACACCCTCCTTCGATTCTTTTCTCCTTTCTTTTTCCTCACTCCTTCTCTCGTTCAGTTCTTGTCCTCACAAAATCATTTCCAGCCGCCTCTTCCAAAACTGTGCCTCAAATAGCCGGGCACTCTGCCCAAAGACACCGACAATCGCCATCCACTGGATTATCTTGCGGGTGGAGAGCAGCAGGCAGAGCACGTCGAGGGCGACAAAGACAAGGACACCAGAAAGCGGCGTACCCCCACGCTTTCTACCAAACCATAGAAGCAGGAGAAGTGAGACGTGTGACGGAAGCACAGGCGCCGCGCAGATAATGCTCCACATGGCTTGCAGGTAGCCACCCAACACCGTCAGACCAGAGGCGTACGCGTCGTACAGCAAGCACAACCAGAGAATGCCGACCACGTAGGCGAGAGACGGGAAGTAGCGGAAATGCCCTCGTCCCAGTTCAGAAAAAAGCACACCATCATCTACCAGCAGAAGAAGAAAGAGGGAAGTCGTCACATGTAGTCCAGGCTCATTCCCGCCACACCACACATTGAGCGTCGTCAAGGCGGTGACGGCGAGGATTGTCGCGTAGTTCACCATGAGTCCCGCCTGTTCCTGAACTTCTTGCGTGAGCGGCAGTGCACCGGGCAGCAGCGCCTTTCCGCTCAGCCTGAACTTCAACACGATGGCAGTGAACAGGCTTGTGACACTAGTCACCGAGAGCAACCGTTTCCGCCCCATTGTGTAGATCTCCCACATAAGCAGTGGGTTGCCTGACGCGTACTCACGCACATCCACGCGGCCCAACACTACCAGCGTGAAAACCATGAAGCAGACAGAGATGCCGTAGACGATCCACCCCTCATTGGAGGACATCTTGCGATAGTGCGCGATGTCGATGGAGAGAAGCGTAAAGTACACAAAGCCGCAGACACCGCAAATGAGGAAAAACGTGGGCACCGGTAGCAGGTACATAGAGAGACCGACAGAAAGGCATCCTGTTGTAATGAACCAATACACGGCACGCAGTATGAAGTGCAGCGACTTCATTGGGAGAAGCCGGCCGGCAACGAGCAACATCATACCCGCAGCGGAACAGTATCTACAGAAATCTTCGTCAATGAAGTCGTACTCAAACACATTTTCGTGCTCCGTGATTCGTGTGGGTTGTGTGATAAGAAGAATGACACCCACCGCAAGAGATCCGCGCGTCAGTGTCTTCAGGTGGTGCAGAAAGGCAAACGGCACTGTGTTTCGGGCGAAAAACGGGTACGTCAGGACGCTGAAGAACACAAGTGCGCTACCAAAAATCACGTGCATGCTGCTCGCCTGCGCGAGACGGCTCTGAGTGAGAACTTCGTACACGGCCCGCTGGAAGTTGCGTGCCGTGCATGCCGTTATACCCACGGCTCCTACAATGAAGAGCGCCGTGAGACGCTTGGCGTGGCTACTGCGCATCTGCCGCCCCCGTTCCAGCTCGAACAGCACCACGACGTAGCCGACGAAGAGTGCCGCCCACCACACCAGGGTGATCTCCACCGCGTGGTATCGCTTGTTACTGCTCTCGTCCGAATCGGCAAGATAGTAAGAGCCGGTCACCTCCACCACAAACGTCAGCAGCTTCGCGATGTACGAGGCTGCGATGAGAGCGGCCTGTGAGATGTTAAGCGTCTCGTTCTTGTACAACCGCGACGCCAACAGGACACCGACGACACTCGTGAGCAGCACATATGCGGCGGGGTAGACGCTCTCCTCCTTCTGCGAGTATAGTACGTGCTCTACCCACGCCACCTGCAGGGAGTGAACAAAAAGGGTGACGAGCAGCGGCGTCTTGTTCGTCAAGAAGGACACTGTGAAGGCGATGCAGCTTAGCATGTAGCACCACAGCACACTCATCGCCACAACAGGCGTCGGCACCGTCGTCGACTCCCCCAACACATGCAGGTCAACCACAATGAAAGAGAACATGCGGTACATCCACCACATAAGGAGGAGGCTCGAGAAAACAGTAAATGACACCATCGGGCCAGAGTTGGTGCGGTCCAGCAGGAAAAAGTTGACTGAAGAGACGCAGAGCACTAACAAGATAATGAAGGCGCCTGGAAGACCTGCGGCTATCGCCACAAGCACGCTCGATAGAGCCGCTGCACCAACCAAAAACGCTCGCCGTTTCATGTATTTGAACTCCAGTATGTTCTCACCTCGCTCATCTGCATCGAGTAGTACCTTGATTTGGTACACCGCGTAAATTCCTGCGTACATGCCGAGCGCTAAGCAGACACCGTTGAACGGTGGCGGCACTCCATTGAAGAGGAACCTGTAGCGGGAATGTAGCAGACGGTAGATAGCCCAGTGCAGGACAACCACCACACTCAGAAAAAGAAATGGCTTTCGATGCGTGCTGACAGCATCCTGTACGCCAAGAGGGTCACACTCCAAACGGTCCTGTAGTGTTTGCTTCTCCGGAAGCAGGAACCACATGCTGCGCCGCGGACTCCAGGAGAGGTAAACGACGGGTCCGCACAACATGCCAAGTGCGTTGAGGATGTTGGGTATCGCTGCAGTGGCCCAGTCACTTTGGAACGAAACGTAGAGCAGCACAGGGAGAAATAAGAGCAACACCGTGAAGACAATCGCCTCAGCCCTTTCGTTGGCCCGATACGGCACCATCTCTGTCTCGTCATTGTCGCGATCCGGGTCACCACTTTTCCCTTCGCTTAATGTTCGGTTCCCCCGCACACGACGCCGCTGCATGACGAAGCTGCTTTCAAGTGGCCCATAAAAGTAGTAGTGCAGCACACACATACCCACAAGGAACCAAGCAGGCGCATGCCGTGAGCCAACGAAGGCGGTCACAGTGGATAGTAAAGAAGGCAGTGAGAGCAGTGGTGTCACGCCGAGTACGCAACGCTCCATCAAACAGATGAGCTCCGGAAATGTAACCTGCATCCAGTGAAAGTGCAAGAACGCTGCCATGGCTGCAGTAATCAACAGGCCCAAGACGCTCAAAACCATACATAACGGACCCACACTCGAAAATGAAGCGTGCAAATTGGAGAGAAACAATGATAACCCGAACAATGCGGTAGTGCCAATGATCGCCAAAACGCTGCCACGACGGTATCCCGCAAAATCCGCCAAATATGTCACTATGCACCCTGTCAGCAGCACAGTCAACGCGAAGGAAGACATGAGTGGGATGGCGCCAAAGAGACCCAGCGCCAGCAACAGCGTCACGCGCCACACGTACTTGGGAGGTCCGGTCACAAACTCTAGTGGAGCGTCGCGTACGTCCCTTGTATGACCTGACATCTCCTCGAGGATAGCGCCGGCCTCTGTCCCGGACACCTGTTTCGCCGCCTCGCGGCGTGCTTGCTCCTGTATCCAGTGATCCGCTGTAGACTGGATAGCCTCGTTGGCGTACTCCTCGCGTCGTGTGTGTGCCTCTGGCAGAAAAACAGGCGGCACAGCAGCAGTAGAAGGCCCCCCCGCCCACGGGGGCCCATTGTTAGCGTGCTGATAACCACCTTGCGCTGCATTTGCGTTGTCGTTGTTGTGGATTTGGTTGTTGCCACTTCCCGGTGGAGCTGGGAAAGTGGGGAACACCGGCGGCGCCCGTGCTGGGGGCTCACCGGGACGCATGTCCTTCTAAAAGCACCACAGCCCCTCTCGCTGTGAATTCACTAATATCAGCGCCTCGCAGTCCAGCCGTTTCGCTGTCTCGGCTGCGGAGCTACAAATGCTCACTGATGGCTCTCAGAATAATTAAAGCTGCAGGAGGGTGGAAAAAAAAGGGGGGGAAGCCACCGACGGAAAGGGATAGAGAGAGAGAGAGAGAGAACGAAGAAAAACGATTAAGGTGCGGCATATTGAATGCGCCGATGCTGCATCAAGTGCGCCACCGCCACCGCCACCGGAAGCAGCAATGGCAATGGTAAGGAAACAGATCAACTACAACTTGGCCAAAGGAAACGCTTAAGCGCAATGTATTTCTCTCTTCTTGTTGTGGTTGTTGTCTACCCGAGACTTTTCTTTTCTTGTGTTTCTTTTTTTTTCCCGGGTAATCTGCGTCGGCCGCTTACTCGAATCTTTCCTTTCTTCCATCGACATCCTCATCATCACAGTCCTCGTCACAATTCGCATCCTCTCATCGATCCTTGTGTGGTGAAACGTCACTCCGCCTCGTCCTCATGATTCCCCGCGCGGGGCATGTTGTGCTGCCGCCGCAACTCCCGCAGGCGCTGCAGTTTCTGGATGGCGTTAATGTCCTCAATGGCGAAGGAGACCATCAGGCGCCGGTTGTCGCCGAAGAGAGTGGGGTTGTTGTTGATCGCGCGCAATGCGTGCAGAGCCGTCGGGTGGTTCACGAACTCCATAAAGGCGTAGCCCTTTGAGGTGCCGGCAGAGTCCTTCACCAACTTGATGTTCTTGATTGGGCCGTACTTGCCCCACTTGTCCTTCTCGGCGTGCTCCTTGTGCTCCTTCAAGAAGGTGCGCACCGGTGTTGCGAAGAGGGCGCGCAGCTCCTTCTCCGTCATGGTCCGCGGCAGGTTGCGCACATTCAGGCGCGTGGTGCTGACGAACATGTTGCTGTTGCGCAGTTGGTTCTTGCGCGCCTCGTAGTCGGACTGAATCATCTCAAGGTAGCGGGGGTGCAGTCCGCGCGCGGCCGGCGCGTCAGGTAGAATGAGGCCTTCCTGCAGCAGGTACAAGTGGCGCGGGTCGTCGGCGGCCACCTTTGTGCGCTTCTGCTTCTTCTGCAGCGCTGCGACGGCCTCGTGCGAGTCGCTGCGGGAAAGCACGCGGTGCACAGTGAAGCGGGTGTCGCGAATCGACAGGAACGGGTCGCGTGCGGTGACGGCGTCGGCGCGCAACTTGAACCGCATGCGCTTCGCCTGGCAGTGTGAGACATCCTTTGTCTTCTCGCGCCAGTCGGCGCGGTCGGCGGCGGCGAGTTCACGCGCGTTGTGCTGCGCGTGCTCGAAGATCTTCTCCGCCAGCGCAACGGAGCCACAGTGCAGGAAGCCGGTGCCGACCAACGCCTTGTTCGTCTTGTTGCGCACCAGCAGCACGCGCCGCACGGCGCCGAAGCGCGACGCGAAGAAGCTCAGCAGCTCCTCCTCCGACGTGTCGAGCGGGAGGCGCTTGAGGAACAGCTGTGTCTCAAGCGGGTCGCGCTTGTTCATGCGTTCCTGCTTCTCTTCGTCAACGTCGCTCTGCACCTCGACGTCGCCGTTTTCGGCATCATCACCCTCCAGCGGCTGGTTGTCGTCGTCGTCGCCACGCGGCCGCTTCTTGCGCCCAAACGGCTCCTTCTTCTTTGCGCTGCCATTGTTCTCCGCGTACGTCTTCGCTATGGCCTTCTTCCAGCTGGGCTTCTTCTTCTCTAGCTTGTGGAGCAGCTTCTTTCGAATGCGCTGCTGTGCCTTCTTCTTGCGAAGGGCGGAGGGAGTCGGCTTGCGCTTCACCGTCCCCTTCGCCATCCTGCAGATGAACTTCAAACAGGGGCAGCATGCAGATGACACAGTGAAGAGAAGAGAAGAGAAGGGGAAAGAAGTACAGTGGAGAACCATGAAAACCTCACCCAAAGGAATAAGCAAATAAAAGGAAACGGCACTGTAGCGGGAAAAAAGTGCGGTGCGGCACAGGCTCCATCCGCAGATATAACGAAGCAGCAGCTGCCAGGGCCTAAGAAGGGTGTACACACACACACATATAAACACCCCCGTATATATATATATATATATATATACGGCATGTAAAATAGAGAGAAAGAGAAGTTGTTGCATAGCTACGTCTGTCCATGCGTGTCTAGCGCAACTGGGTCACATCTCAGCCAAACGAGAAAGCTTCTGAATACGGTTCAGAAGCAGGTCGCCATTCTTGACGATGCGGTGGTAGTCAAAGTTGGTGGTGTCTCCACGGTAAGTGGTGATGCTATCTGACACACGGTCCATTTTACATGCGATGCGCTCATTCGAAATGAAGGTTCCCAGCATGTTATCCAGCACCGGCGGCGGAATGTTGAAAGCCGCGCTCATAGAGTTCAGCGTGACGCTGCTATACGAGTCAAGGAACTGCGTGAATACGAGCACGCGCACCTCGCGGAAAAAATAGTTCACATGCTGGGAGAGGTACACAATGCCTCGAAGCTGCTGGCACACCGTGTCAAGTGCGGGGAACACCTCCCTGTATCGGCAGTTGTGAATGGCAGTGACGAGGTGGAAGACGTCCTTGATGTTGGCACTGCGCACCTCTGGGCTATCGACGATCTGCTTCTTCAACTCGGAGCGGCTCAGCACCGTCAGGCTCGCGACAACCGTGATGAGGATGAACTCGTTAAAGTCCATCAGTTCCCCTGCGGCGAAGGTCGAGATGGAGTCCAACAGCAACTCCGAGCCCTTCTTGAAGTCGCGTATGAAGACGTGGTAGATGCCCTCGTACACCTTGAGTCGGTTGCGCCGCTCCCAGTCACCCTCCTTCATCAGCCGGTGCGCGTCACGTATGCCGTTGGCGGCGATCTCGTTATCGGAGAATGCGATGCCGAGGAGGATGCGCTGCAGGCAGAGGTCCAGCTTTGGCCCAGCCGCCAGCGTCTTGCCGGAGCACTCCATGTTGAACTTGAGGCACTCCTGCAGGTCACCGATGCGGGCGAAGTGGGCACATTTTGCGAGCAGACCCTCGCGCACCTCCACGTCGCCGCGGTTCTCCCGCGCGTCCTTAATACGTGCGTCAAGCTCCTCCAACTTCCTTGCGTTGGCGGCGTCCATCTCCTTCATCCTGGCCTCGTCTAGCGGCCACACAAACAGCTCATTGACGAAACGGAGGAAAGGCGCCATGTTGTGGTCGTACGCCTCTTTCAGCATTGCCGCCTTCGCCTCCTCGCGCGTTGCAGCGTCGACGTACTGCGAGGTGTACGTGTGGCGCAGGTGCAGCAACGAGATGAGGGGGTCCATTGCGATGGGTTCCTCGACAGGGAACTCCCCTTCCTCGTTTTCAGTGTGTGATGGCGGTGGTGGCATGGCACCGTTCTTGTGGGTTAGGTTATTGGTGTGTGCGTGTGTGGAATCCTAGTACGAGATTATATGCGGGTAATCTACAATACCTGACCTGAGCACAGTTGTGGAGTAACAACCAAAAAAAAAAAAAACACAAATACATAGGGGAAGAAGGGACCAGTATCAGCTTGTGCGCACACGTGACGAAAGTATGTTGGTGTGAGAAAAATAGAGAGATGATGGCAGAACCCAATCCCACTCCCCACAAGTAGTACATTCTCGATAGTACAGTGACAACAACACAGAGAAAGAGAGAAGGAAAGAAAAGGATCGTGGGGCACATATATATATATATATATATATCTTCAAGCACGGATGGGAGCACTGGTGAGAAAACAGAGTGGAATTGTGGTACAGACAGCACCATTGAAATTAGAAGAGGGTGCAGTGGTTGTGAACCAAGAGAAAAGTAAAATAGGGAGGGATTTATTGACTATCACGCGTGCTCCTTTTGTGTCTCTCATAGCCCCGTCAATAGTACTGGCAAGACTTCAAAAAAAAGTCCGCCTGCGCGTCCAGCAGAGCCCAAGATTCGGCGAGCCCCCGCGCATCCTTCGCCGTGTTCATATCATAGTTGCTACCTTCCTGGTTGTAGTCGTAGCACTCATCACCAACTAGGATGTTATTATTGCGGCTGCCGCTGCTGCTGGCATCATCCTCCGCGTCGTCATAGACCTCGTCATCATTATAGTAGTAGTGGTTGTTGTCGTTAGAGCCGGTGACGCCGCGGCTTACCGCAAGCAGG